AATGCCCATATTAAGATTGGGGGGAAAAAGTATAAAAAATGCTTATAATCTCCTATCTTTGGAGGTAGCCACTATTATAATTTCTGAACATTTGTTTCAGACTTCCATCTATGAACTGATAGAGCTATTTCTTTAAATAAAAGTGTGACCATATTAAATATTCAGTTAATATACAGTAGTGTTCACTTAATGATAATATTCTTATGTTATTAAATATTTGTTGAGAACATATTTTTTATTTGTTTTTAATATCCTAGCTAGGTGTTCCAAATGCTTCCAAATGTAAATAAAGCCGGGCTACTGTAAGTGCAGCAAAGCAGCTAGGAGTTAACAAAAGGGAAGGGAGCTAGACTGGCTGAGTCTGGAAGTTACAGCTTTCAGACACCCTAAAGGAAAGCTACATCCCCTACCAAAGGGGACTTAATCTCCAGATGATCAGCTTTCCAATCTCCTGGGAGACAACCATCCATTAGGAGGGATAAGGGAAATTCCTTTGCTAAGCACTTGCATAGCAGGTGACCATAAAGGAGAGGAATCCAGACTGGGAAAAGGGTTGGACTGGACAGGGGGAGGGCTCAGGACAAGCCCACCAAGAACCAAGAGATTGGTTAGTTTGAAAGAAAGTTTACTCCTTCCCAAGCCAGAGGTAATATAGTCAACGCTTAACAAAGGCCTGTCTGTGCAATTGTTAGTTCACCCCCTAGGTTGCCAGTTAGTTCCCACGTTCTCTCCGTAGCAGCTCTGAGGGCCTGGCAGCCTTGCGGGTCCAAGTGGGACACCTCAGGCCTGGGTATGGCCGGCAGCAGAGACTCTGCTGAACTACCAGAGCTCTTACAGTTCTGGATCCTGACTCTCCTGATGGGTGTTCACGCTCACCAGGCCAGGACTTATTCCACAGCAGATGGAGCTAAGCCACCAGGTCTGAATGACACACCAGGAACCTGCAGACAGTCCACTGTGTTTGCTCCAGCTCCATTAAATCTTACTAAGACACTCACCCTCCCATGCATGAGTCTCCACAATGCTTTTTTGCGACTCCGTGAAAGGGCTATAATTCCACCAGTAGCAGTTCTTGTACACAACTTTGACAAACCATTGAATAGCTCTTAAAAAAGTTGTAGGAGTTCAATTCTTAGATCAAAGTATATGAATACTTTGATTTTAAGGCTGATGTGTATTCCAAAATTAAATAGTTTTTAGAAATGTACTTATTTCTAAAACTACCAGAAACAGTATATGAAATCTCATCTAACAGTACCCATTACTAAAATAAAATATTATTCTTAACCTTACTAATTTTAGAATAATTTTCTAACTGGTAGTAAAAATTTAATTTTTCAAATTACCATTGTTTAACTTTTTCATCATATCAGTACTCAAGGAGGAATATCAAGGGATAATTGGTGAGATTTTTATAGACTATAAGTTATTTTAATTTAACATAAAATCATTTAATCAAAAAAAGAAATTCCTACAATATAGAATACATATGTTGAACTTCTATAGATTTTAAACATAATCGAGTTCAAAATATCTAATTAGCCCAATGCCACCTTTCCCATATACTTATGAAAAGATATCCAATTATCTTGAAAAAGGCAATTAAAATTACTATTAATAATCTTAATACTAGGACATGTTATAATTTATTTGATAATTACATTTCCCACAAAGATACTGTCAACATAAACTGTGAAACTGTAGATCTATCTTGTTTACAAGTATCAGAGACAATATGCTCACTATTCTGCTGTATTTAAATGTTGCATTGCAGTTTCTCTTAACAGGTAATACGTGACATGAAACATGTCTGATTTTATGCTTCATGATCTCCATTCTAATGTTTAACATTAAGAAATTATATTTATGTATCACACATCAGAAAACAATTTAAATAATTAAAGTAAGAAAAATAATAGCGACATGCCTTTCATTTTAAATGTGAATATAAGTCTTTTGTTCATAGACATTAAAGAATCATCTGTAAACAAATGCAAACTATTTACATTTTTCTGATTTACGTAGCTAGCACTAAGTATTTTGCCTAAGTTTGTTTTATATTTTCAGAAATTTGTTAAGAATCAAAATATTGTCATTAAAATAAGAAAAATCAAGAGATACCTCTCAAGACTGACTCATGTTTTAAAAATTCATTATTTCTAGGCTTTATTCTGATTTTTAAAACAAAGAAAAAATGTAATTATGTAATTATTTTGATTTTAAAAACATACTACAGGAAAAGATACCATTTAAGCCAAGCTGAAGTTTACATTATTTATTGCTATTTTTCTTCAAAAATATGCATTAGAATAAATATTTTTCTAAACATCAAAGTATATGTAATACATAGTTCTGGTATATTTATTTTTTTGAAAAGGTGTTCTGAATCTTAGACAACATAAATACTAGGCAGTGTGGTGGTTGCCATAGAAACAGGTAAATAGCATAAAAATACATGTAATTTTTCAAGTGTATACATTTTCTTCATAAATATGCATATTTTATAGGTAAAATATAGCAAGCCTTGCTTTAGCTCCCCTTTTAGAGGGAGAAAAACACCTAATTCTTTAGAAATTAAATATTATCACCTGGCCAGTGCTGGCTGGAGTGTCATCCCATGCAAGAGTGACGGGTTTGATTCCCAGTCAGGGCACATACCCAGGTTGCGGGTTCGATTCCAGTCAGGGCATGTTCGGGAGGCAACTGATAGATGTTTCTCTCTTTCACTCTCCTTCTCCCTTCCCCTCTCTCTAAAAACAATAAAAACATATCTTCAGGTGAGGATTAGGAAAAAGGAAACAATTATCACATAGAAATGGAGCCGGCTCAAAAGAGTTTTCAAATGCTCTATGAAAGCTCTTAAGGTTTTTATGTCAATTTTCCAAAATGAAGACAGGAAAAAAAGAAAGCTTTCATTCTATATTACTTTACTGGTAAGTTCTTTAGTAAGGGTAAAAATGCATAAACTCCCCCCACCTCCAAGCACTAACTTCCCTTTTATTTTGCATAAGTTTATTCTTCACATGCATTGAATGCAGCGCTTGGCCTTGGAAAGCTGAAAGCCCTTTTGATCACAAAGAAGCCTAAGAAATTTAATGCTACCCATGAGCTACTACTTGAATAAATGATTCAAAAAGTCATTATACCAACGTGCTAAATGTGGAGTGCCGAGAGCTCTTTCCTTTCTCCCCTCCCTTCATTAAAACACAACCTCCCTGTTCCCAGGTACCCTAGAAGGCACGGGATGTACACTGACCAAGCGATCTGAATTCCATCCGTACAGTTTAGGAGGGCTTAGCACATATTTTATGCGGCTGGAGAGGGAGGCAGTGCTATAAGCCATGGTGTGAAGTTTGAAATCTACTGAAAGGTATTGATAACCCAACCAAAACAGGAAAGTGGCTCAACTATTACTGGGAAACAAAAACTTCCAATCTGATTAGATAAATTCGGACTTCCAATTTGTTTCAGTAACAACAATTTGGTACTGTTCTCCTGGAATGAGAGTTTAAAACTTTAAAAAGACCACCATCTAGCCCTGGCTGGGTAGCTCAGCTGGCTGGAGCATCATGCCAATACACGAAGGTTGCGGGTTCTATCCCCGGTCAGGGCACATACAAGAATCAACCAATGAATGCGTGAATAAATGGAATAGCATATGGATGTTTCTCTCTCTCAAATCAATAAAAAAATTTAAAAAAATAAAAAAATCACCATCTAGGCAGGGTGCCAAATATGAGGTGACAAAACTGTGCTCTAGAGCTCACCTTGGGTTCACACCTTGATTAAGAAACCATGCACTGTAATGGCTAATGACTGACTGAACTAGCCTGCAGTGGGAACGGCCTCATCAAGCATGTGCACGATCCTATGCTTTCACTGAAGAGAAATCAGGTGATTTTTCCCCCCTGGGGGAGATAGTAAATTTAAATCATAAGAACTCCAAAGAATGAACTAAAGTATTAGTCAAATATTAATGAGCATCAAAATAGAACAGAATAAGTCACATGAATGATGTGACTACTACAAAAGAAAAAAAGTATCTTTATTCCTGGTCCCTCCCAAACCTTTGAACTATTTCCTTCTGCTTTCACCACCTTAAAGTAATGGAACAATGTCCCTAAAGACTGCAAAAGGGAAAAAACATACCCATCTTTAAAACAAGGGGGGAATGATTTTGGTAATTAGACAGCTTAGTTTAACCTGGGAACATACAATAACAAATTAAACAATCAATTAGTAACACCGAGAAGCTCACAAAATACTGGAAAACAACCAACATAGTATTTGAAAAGCCAAATATGTCAGGTGAATTGAGTATCTTTTTCTGATAGAATGACAGGTTACATTATCAAGTAAAAAGTGAACAATATAAACTATTTCAGTGTTGTTAACATTTTTATTCTATTCCCCAATCCAGGATAGAAAAAAAAAAAAATGGTTTGGGAAGAAAAGTATTTAGAAATTGGCTTTACAACGCTAACCAATGTTTGTTGACACATCTCTCTCTTGAGGACCTGTTTCAGAACTGAGTCAATATCTTTACTGATAACTAGTTGGGAAACTTGGCCTCCTTTATATTTTAGCTCCATCACATCATATCCCTGAGATCTCTGAAATTAAAAAAAACTATTTCCTTAGTTTTCTGTCCAACTTGTTGACCTTTCTTTCCCCTAGGGATCTTAAAGGACTTGCTGCTTCAATTAAGTGGTGCTATGCTGGGACAAGATGTAAACCCATTTTAGGTAGAAATTTTGAGAGAGAAACAAGGACTGCTTTTTAACACTGCTATGGTCAGACAGCCCAGGTTCCCATGAACTCAGGAATGGGTAGCAATTCTCAGACATAGGAAAAATATGTAAGATTTTTAAATCAATCTCTCTCAAGGAAAAAGTGGGGACTTTGTCCAAAAGTCAAGTAGCTATGTTAGTTGGTGGTATGTTAAAAGTGGAAAAAGAAGGAGAAAGGGCAGGAAAGGAGTTGAGAGCATGGGGACTCACCATTCTGGTTCTGTAAGGCGTGTGAGTTGAAACTGTTCTATAGATGAAGTCCCTGTGAAACAAAATCTTAGTTAGTCATGAGACATAAAGAATAATATATTCAGAAAGCTTAGCCGTTAAAATATAATTAAATTGGACTACTAATTGCTAGGGTCTTGACCCTTTTTACTGATAATTTGCTTTTATCATTATGATATCTGAGTTTGCCCTAAGTATGTAAAGAATTTTAGATGGCTCTCCTCGGCTTTCCAGAACACAAAAAGGTCACTTGTCTTGAAGACCTGCCAATTTTACTTTTAATATATAGGATGTCCCAAAAAAATGTACGCAGACACTTTGAATAATTATAAATGCAGTGTTTATTAAAATACATTTCATTTTCAAATTTGAGCTATCAGCTGTTAAAGTGTGTATACATTTTGGGGGGACACCCTGTATATAGCTGAATATAAAATAAGGAAAATTATTCTAAGATGCATGCAAACAATCCATTTTTATTGATTTATAACCAAACTATCATATAGATTATGACCTTCAAAAATATAGTTGGATGCAGGATGGCATGCCTCTGTAGGAGAGGGTGTACCACAGAGCAAACCATAGCAAAAAGGTCCAATAGACGGGCCTGAAGCAAGACACAGTCTCATTAGTGCAATGAAATTCAATTCAATTCATTATGTATTGATCTCTAACTAACACCTATAACTGAGAAATATCAAAATATAAGTTAATTTACCAACTATGTTTCCAATCTTTTCAAATTCTTTAAGTTTGCCAATTCTCCCTGTACTGAAAACTATTGCCAAGTTTCTGGACCAACGTTCGCTCTAATTCCAAGGCTAGGAACCAAGTAAGAATAGAACTTGAGCCCTGATGACAACAGGCTTAGCCTCATCTACCTAAAGAAAGAAACTGGGAAACAGGTATACTGTGGACTAAGACCAAAAGAACTGTTACAAAGGACCTAGAAAGATCTCCTTTTACATCTGGTTAAACTTTCTTGTCTTACTTCTTTCGCAGGATTACCTTACTTTAACCTAAGATGTGAGATCTATTTATATCTTTCTCTATATTCATATATCTGAGTAATATACATATATATAAATAAATTCACCATCTCATTTTCTAAATAATTTTTAAAATTCTGAACTTAAATACATATATTTACATTGTACTATGGAATAATTTGTCATTTTCTTGTACTGAAATAAGAAAATGTATTAAAGTTACCTCAGACAAAGGTAGGAACTAAATAACATTAATTTAATATTCATAGAGACTAGCATTGCAGAATAGGATTTATACTACAAAAATAAAAAATCATGTAGTCTTTCAAATTAATATATCTTACTGTCTTTCTCTAATGCTCCTGCTTCACCTGCAGCACATCAGACAAGGTAATAATTTATGATAATCATATGAAAATATACAATTAATATTCATCACCTCTCATTCCTCATCACTTTAGATGATCAGTAATGCAGAGTGAAAATGCTGTCAGATTTCTAATTGCTTTGTAATGGGCTTGAAACAGGGAAATCATTAAAGGCAAACAATCTGTCATTTGTCTGTTACTTTAACTATCTATCACACACAAAAAACTCATTAAAGAAATTGCTAATGAGCTATGAAAGACTATACTCATGGTGCTTCTAGAGTAGATTAAAAAGTAATACTATGAATTGCTTAAAATATTTTTAAAATAATATTTTTGTGGAAATTCATCAGAGAAGATCTATTCCTCAGTATATTTTTTAAGCTGTGTGTTCTCATTATTTTGGCATCTAATCCATCATTGCAAAAATCCCTTTAGCATATAAGACTTGTTTTTCATCAGTCTCTAAATAATTAAATCGAAAGGTTGCAAGGAGAAGCTGAAATGCTAAATGTGTTTATTACCAGTAAACTGACTCAAGTAATAAAAAATAGTGCTATAGTAACACTGATGCTAAATGAAGAATATGTTTTTAAATTTACCCTCATATCTCTGTGCTTCTGAACTGTTGAAGTTGCAATGCTTCATTCATCTTAAATAATGCTATCACTATACAAATATTATATTCAACTACTGAAATTGAGCATAACATTCAACTCTGCATAATAACATTAACTATTTTGAAATTTTCGCAGGTATTAACCAACATTAAAATGTTTCATAATATTACTTCAAACAATTTAAAAGAGGAAGACAAATTATTTCTGTAAATATCTACACCAAATTTTATCTCTTATCAATGCTACTGTTCTACATGAGGTACTTAGTACTGTGTTTTAAAAAATCTATGATGACACTAATCTAGTTTTAAAAACAAATAGGCATATAAACAAACAATTAATCCAGAAATGTTTTGTTATACAGTCTAGTTGCATTTTATTTTAGAAAAATTATGACAGTAACAATGATAACAGTGTACGTTTTTCATTTTGCTAATGATGAATTAAATCATGTATTTATTTCCTATAACAAAACATAATAATCTCAGTAATAAAGTCAGACTTCTTTTAAACATGTAGACCTATTCATATCTATTGGAATACACACAAATTTATAAACGGAAATGCAATGGCATGTTTAGCCTGGTGCCATGATATACACCAGTGAATTCCAAGCTAACTTCAAAAGGTTCCATAACACTCTGGAAGCACATTCATTATGCTCTCTAATTGACTTAAACAGACTTCATATCAACTATTTAACACATTCTAACCCACAAATTAACACCCTTTGAACATTCAGATTAACCTTTCTTCTGTGAGTCAACTACATGACAAAAAATAAAATAAACCTTTAAAAAATATTCAGGTTTAAAAACTGAAATGGAGAAGGGAGAATACTTTTTAAAATATATATACAGCATATAAATGCATATCACCACATGGCTGGAAGAAACCATTGCAAGGTTTCAAATTTCGAGGTAACCCGAAAGCTCACAGAAAAGCCACAGTGGTTATAAGAACAAAGTAAAAAGGGTAAAAAACTGTAAAGGGGAAATAATAAGTTGGTATTTATAAATAATAAGTTGGTATTATTAAAAAGAAACAGAAAATGGATTTTATACAGTATCTTTAACAGTTTCATGGAAAGATTAAAACATCAGACGTGAAGAAGTTAGGAAAATGGGAACAAAATCCTCTCAGAGAAGAGAAGTCAGAAACAAGCTCGAAAGAACACAGGCACAACCGAAGCCAAACAAACAAGAGAGACATGGCAACAGTTGTGACAGCGAAACCTAGTCACCTCTTTGACTCTCTTGCTTAGTGCATGGCCTTACTCAAACTCAATAGTGTTCAGTGATGATTACGGCTAGGAAGGCAAACGAGAGACCAGGTCAAAGGAAGACAACCAGCAAGGGGCAAAAAGGCAAAAATGAAAAACCATTTCTATTTTTATTTTATTATCATTTTTTTAATCCTCACCCGAGGGTATTTTTTCCATTGCTTTTCAGAGAGTAGGAGAGAATGAGAGAGAGAGAGAGAGAGAGAAACATCAATGTGAGAGAGACATCAATTGGTTGCCTCCAGCGCCCCCGCCAGGGCCAGGGCCAGGGCCAGGGCCAGGGCCAGGGCTGGAATTTGCAACTCAGGTACGTGCCCTTGGTGGGAATCAAATCAGGGACACTTCAGTCTGCAGGCTGGTGTTCTAAGCGCTGAGCCAAACTGGCTAGGGTGAAAAATCATTTCTAAAAGATGAGGCAGGAATGTTCATTACAGCTGGTTCTCAATACTGTCTAAAGTTTTACGATAATCTGCCAAAAAACAAGAAAAAAAAAAAGTTTCTCTTATTCTAGCCACTCACCTCTCCCTTCAGTCAAAGCGTTATTTAAACTTAACACTTCCACATATCTTCCTGGGTTAGCCTGATTTTATTCAAGGATTTCAATCATTCAATCAATCTGCTTTATTCTATTCCTGTAAGTTATTAACTGTCACAATCCCTGTTATTTCTTCAGGCACAGTACCTCTCACAGATAGTTCAGTTGCTTATTTAGTTGTCTAGCCAGATAAACTCTAAGATTTTGAGAGGGCTACAGCCAACTCTCTTATGTCTTTTGTAACAGAGTGTGGGGCACATAGTAAACACCCAATAAATATTTGTTGATTGAATGTATAAGTGAATGAAAGCTATATATGTACTATATCATTGTGTGTGTGTGGGGGGGGGTGTTTTATCTCATCATTAGCTAATTCTTGGTGGTTTTTCCATCTTCCCAGTAGATTCTATATTGTTCTAGGGGCAATAATTTAATCTTAGAACATAACCATAATATTCTGTGGTACTTAAATATAGCTTAGGTCACTAATATGAAAATCCTAAAAATTCAGAGATAAATAAGAAGGAAATTAAAAAAGAGTTAGTGAAATAAACAAACAACCCAATTAAAAAATGGGTAGAGGGCATGAACAGACACCTCGCCCAAGAAAACATACAAATGGTCAATAGATATATGAAAAGATGTTCAACCTCACTAGCAATTAGGGAAACGCAAATCAAAATTACAATGAGATACCACTTCGCACCTGTTAGACTGGCTATTATCAACAAGACAATAACAAGTGTTAGAGAGGTTGTAGAGAAAAAGGAACCTTCATTCACTGCTGGTGGGAATGTAGACTGGTACAGTCACTATGGTAAACAGTCTGGTGATTCCTCAAAAAATTAAGAATAGAGTTACCATATGACCCAGCAATCCCTCTCCTGGGTATATACTTGAAAAACTTGAAAACAGAGGAAGGAACCAAGGCACAGATATTAATTCAAACTGTTCACAAAACCAGTAAGAGGAAGAGTCTAGATTCAAACCTATTCAGTATGATTCCAGAGTTTATGCTCTTAACCACTATGCTAACAGTTTATATTTCTGCAATATTGATTTTACATAAAATGGATAAATTACTTTCTTGAAATAAAATAGTAAGAAGCAAACCTATTATAGATACCCATCATTAGAACACTAGAAAATGTGGCAAAATAGCTGGGGCTTAGTTTCTCTGAGAGGTGTTCCTACCCACAGAGATCTTACAATCCAATTAGAGAATCAGAACATACATTTGAAATATATAACAATACCCTGTGGGATAGGATGAGTGTAAGTGAACAGTACACACCGGGCTTGCTAGGAAAGTTGAGAGGAAGAAAGTAATTTCCAAGGACTGGGCCATCATAAAAGGTTCGATAAAAGAGAGAAGTCATAAAGAAGGGATGAAACTCATAGGAGGAAAAAAGGACCTAGGGTATTATAAGCAAAGGAAACCATCTGAACAAAATTATGGATGAAGTACCAAGAAAAGATCCAATTGTTTATATGTTTCATGTATGTATAGGTGTAGGTAATAAGTGATGAGGCTGGAAAACTAAGGACCATATTGGGGAAGTAACTGAATGCCAGGTTAAGGAGTTAGGACTTTACCCTCTTGATTACCTGCCCTGTTCAATACAGTAGTCACTAGTTAGATGTGACTATTGAGTACTTGAATGTGGCTAGTCCAAATTGAGATGCACTGTACAGTTAAAATACATACCAACTTTGAAGACTTAGTATGAAAAAAGAATGTATCATATCTCAATATTTTTTATATTGATTACATTTTGAACTGACCATACTGTGGATATATTGGGTTAAATTAAATATATTAAAATTCATTTCCTTAGGGTCACACAGAAGGCATGTTGGAACCAGGATTAAGAAAGATCCTTTGACTCAGCGTTATGCTTTTTTGCGTCTCCTATGGAGAACCTAATCTATCCTTATAGCTTGAGATTTTTTACTTTCCTGTGTCACTCAGTTATTCTTTATAGTTCATACCATCATTAATTGTCCATGTTAAAATATTTTATTGAATGTGCTTAGGTTTATCCCCTCTGCTCCTCAAAGTGAGATTTGGTAGAAGAAAGATAAAAAAGAAGGCAAGCAAATCTAAGCAGTAACAACCTTAACATCTCCAAGTGAAATTAAATCACGCTGCCAAGAAATAAGATGCAGTTTTCTGGGTAAGATGCAGTACCTCTGGGTACAATGCAAGGAAGAAAGGTCAATGTAAGGTAAGCAGCACGGAGAAGATAAAAGGAAAAGCAGAAGGGAAAAAGGGGAGAGGGAAGAGGGAAAAAACTAACCAAAAAGTTAACCATGTCCATTTGGAGTGCCCAGCAACTAACTACCTCGAAGTGGAGCAGTTTATTCTGCTTTTTCTGTAAGCTTCAAAGATAGTATGGCTGCCCTGGGGATCTGCAGACTTGCTAAGAGCCCTGTTCTGCTGCCCTCATAATTAGCTATTTGGACTCGATCCTTGGTTTGTTTCCTCAACTACAAAGTAAGAAAACAACATCTGCCTGACTCGCTTCACTGGGTTGAAGTGAAAGTGAAGCGAGACAGTAAATGTGAAAGGACTTGGAATTTTTTTATCTTTTAAGCCGGTTGCTAAGATCTAAAAGAAACAATTTGGTTGAACACCTTTCCCAGAAAAAAAAAAAAATTTTAACTGAAGAAAAAAAACACCACACAGACCATTCGGCATAGGTTTCAGGTCTCTTAGTTTTCGAATGAGAACATTCTAATCTAAGGGAAGCATAGGGACCAGAGAGGAATCAGTTCTCATTCTTCAACCCCCTCCCCCCCAAACACACACGCAGTACCTCTGGGAGCATTCACCAACCACAAAACGGGGGGCAGCGCTGCGAAGGGCCAGCAGAGGAAGGTTTGGGGGAGCCGGGGCAGCCGGGGTGGGGGCGGGGCGCTGGCTGAGGCGCAGGGGAGAAGCGCCGTAGACCGAGCGGGGACTAGGGCGCGTTTAGCGGGAGGGAAGGGCGCCTTTTCCACACGCCGCTCGAGCACTTACTGCTGCTAGTCACCTCCTTGGAAGCGTCGACTGGTTACCATAGCGACCGCCTCCCGGAGGGCGGAGCGACGCTTCCGACTGGTGTCTCGGCCACCACGCCTCCACCAGGAACGTGGTGACGTCGGAGCAGTCACTTCCGGCGGAAGAAGCCGCCGGTTCCGAGGGGCGGCCTCCCGGCCGCTAGAGTGCCTTCCCGCGCCTCTGTGAAGTTTGGTGAGTGCTGTCGAGTGAAGCCAGGGGCGGGTACTCGCCTGCGGTGACATGGGGCCGCCTGTGAACCCGGCGGGTCCCCAGGTCCTAGTTTTGAGGGTCCTGGCTGCCTCGGTTAGTTCACAGCTGTGGGCGGAGCGCGCCTGCCTCCAGGGGCTCCTGGTGTGGGCGCTTCTGTAGCCTGGAGACTGCAGACAGCACCCTCGGGTGCACAGTTGGGGGGCTTTTTGCGAAGTCTGGGGGCCTCTCCAGTCGCGGAGGGATTCTTGCTACCTCGAGTGTGAGTGACTGGCTGTTTCTCACATTATTCTTAAAAGGCAATTTGGAAGAAAAGCGAACTGGGACACTTAAGAGGGAATGCTCCCAAATTCATCTTAATTCTTTGGTCTTTTGCTTTGCTTAAAAAAAAAATCATTCGTTTTGAAAACAGTTATTAAGCTCCGTTAGTCTATTTAGTGACTACTTAACTGCGTTTGCGGTAAGACCAGCAGAAATACCTTCTTAGAGGGTCATCCATCCCTCTGCTCGTTACGGAATTCATCTTTTTAAATGCTGTTGTAATTTAAGACCTAAGCATATAAGACGACATAGCTAGCAAGTTTTCCATACTTGTCTAGATGCTCATATACATGAAATTCTTGGGGTGTTTTTAAAATTTTTTAATTGATGTTAGAAAGAGAGAAAGGGGAGAGAGAGACGGATGTCACTTTGTTGCTCCACTTATGTGTGCATTCATGGACTTGGATGTGCCCTGACTGGGTATTGAACCCACAACCTTGGCTTATCTGACGAGGGTCTAACCAACTGAGCCACTAGGCCAGGGCTCTAGGGGTGTTTTAAACAAAAATATATGCTTCATCAGATTTGCATTATAATCATGATTTACTCAACTAAATATCTAAATGTTCAACTTAGAAAAGCGGTACTTGCTTGTTTCTTACATACATAAACTGTAATGAATTTGTCATTAATATTTTTATTCAGCTGATCTGAGAAGGCCCACTTGTTCAATGGATGATGGCGTTTGAGCGGATACCAAAAAAGGATTGGTACAGCATTCTGGGGGCCAGCCCCTCTGAAAGTATGGCAGACCTAAAACAAAAGTATCAAAAACTCATATTAATGGTAAGTAAGTCTGTTCTTTTTCAGATTTTAAGTCATGGGGAAAAAATCAGTTTGTTTATGTGACCAGAAATTTGTTTCCATAAAGTAAATATATGATATTCAATCAGGAATCATGGTATTAATTTAGTTACTTGAAAGTTTCAATCATATTGTACAAAAAAAAAATGTTGATTTGAGGTGGATAGCACTGTGGTTTGGAGCAGATTTGAGTCATGCTGATTGAGTTACAATCCTGATTCTATCACTAACTGAGAAGTTGGACAAGTTACTTTCCCCTGTATGTGTCTCTGTGAGATACAATGAATTAATCCATGTAAAATGTTTAGAAGTGTGTCATGTGGTAAGCAGCATTAGCATCCAGCAGCCACTGGCTACATATGTCTTTTGAGCACTTAAAAGGTAGCTTAGTCCAAGTTCAGATATGCTGAATTAAATATAAAATACAAATTGGATTTCAAAGACTTAGTACAAAAAAATAATACAAAACAATCTAAACTTTTTTTGTTGATCACATATTGAAATGATATTTTGGATATATTGTCTGTTTTGCATATTCTATACACAATATGTGTGAATATATTTGCATATATAAGGAAGAATATTATCAAAATTGATTTCCTCTTTTAACTTTTTTAACGTGTATGTGGCTTGCATTTATGGTTTGCATTATTATTTCTATTGTATAGTGTTGATTTAGGCTATTTATACACCATTTTTCACCTGACTCAATTCTTTTGTGAAATGAGTTATGTATGGTATTTATAAATATATAGTATCTTTCTGAACTGTTATATTAATTTCTTTTCATCTAATTGTTTCTTTAGCCAGTGTGAGTAACTCTGTAATGGTCTCTGTTTAACTCAGTTTAAAAAAAGGTAAACAACCGTTACTTACATAGCATCACTTGTTTCTCTAGTTTTTATCAAAAAGATCTATGGGATTTTGCTATAACTATTAGTATTTATTGTGAGAAACAGTAAGTATTTCACTGTCAGGAATGTATTACTATCCCTTGTTTAGGTAATAAGTAAAACTAAATTATGTTAAGGATTTTTTTGTGTGTGTCTCAGAATTTTTAATATATCTGAGAGTAACATTAGGTAGACTTAACTGAAAAATTTATTAATACCAAATCATCCTTGTACCTCAGTTAAGTGGGAGATGAGGCCAGAGTAGACTGGGTCTAGGTCATGGAGGGCCTTGCATACCATATTGGCTTTTAATTTGGCCATGAGAAACCATTTGCACTTAATAGGATAACATCTATTAAACACTAAAGTGAATGAACCACTTTGGTTTTTGTTGTTGTTGTTGTTTAGCTGTGTTGTTGAAAGTGTTACAGGTGTTTCCCTTTTTCCCCCCACTGATCCCCTCTACCCCACATCCACCCCACTCCCAGGCCTTCTCCACACTATTTTCTATGTCTTTGAATGAACCATTTTGAATACCTCATAGCATTGTATCAAAGGGTTTTAGTTGCTCTACATCTCCCCAACATTTGACATTTCTCACATTGATGTTTCTCTCCCTAGCTCTCCCATCCTTTCTCTAAAATAAATAAATAAAAAGTGCATGAAAAGATTTTACTCTCTTTATTGGATTGTCTTGGCACTGTGGGTCTATTTCTGGACTCGAATCTAGTTGATCTATTTGTCCTTTTCCAAATACCTCTTTCTTGATTACTGTAGGTTATGTATTTAAGAATGAAATGTTACAAGCTTATTTGGAGGTTTCTATGCATAACTAGGGGCTTTCATTAGACAGAGTCAATCATTTTGTAGGATGACCCCACATGTGCAGCACCTGAATCCATATCCAAAAGGGGAATTCTCAAATTGTCCACCTGAGAAGATGGGAACTTGGACTTGTACTACTTCCTGTGTCAACTTTTTCCTTTGGTTTTCAGTGCAAAATTGCATCCTACCCCTCAACCTGATGTTCCCTGATTCAGAATCTTCTCTGGTCCATCTCTTCACACAATAAACTTCTGCTTTTCTGCTACGGCAGGAGAGAGTAGATGTTTGGCTTTATGATGAGGAGAGCTGGAGATCTAATTATTTCTTCTAAAGTCTAAACCACTCTTCTGCTATTCAGTCATGCCCCTCAACCAAACCTTCAAAGATACTTAATGCCTCTGTTCCTCGGTTTTTCTGGCCTCTGCATGAATGAGCTCACCTCTTGTTTGTTGTTTCAGGCTTAGGTTTCAGTTTTCTCAGGTAGACTGAATTGGTTATCATTTATCGATCCATTTTCTATCTTCTCAGATTTTGGTGTCTCTCATCTGCTTTTTCAATCTCCTGTTAAATTTGTTCTTATGCATTTATGCCTTTGCCTTTAAAAATTATTATTCTTTTGCTATTTTAGTGGAGTTTTGGGAGGGAACAGGAATAATTGTGCATATGAATTTGCTACTTAATAGAAGCCCTGAACTATTCTCATTTCCCTTTAGCAGCCAGATACCCTTCCTTAACCATAGACCTTTGCATTTGCTATCTCTGCCTGATGCACTGTGCCCCATTCCCCTACCTCACCTGATTAACTCTTACTGATTGTTTCAAAATTATCTTAGTTATAACCTCTGCCTCCCCTGATCCCTGCCGTGTCCCCCTTCCTGATGGGTACCCTCCCCCAGTAGAAGTGCATTTAGTTTTATTTCTCTAGGACAGGAGAGGTATAGCTGGCAGGTAAGGAGAATGAGGGTAGCTGGAGTGTGCTAAAAGGTTTTTTGTGCTTTTCCTTTTAGAAGATAGGGACTTGAGCATGCTTAAGTTTTATGAGAAGTAGCTAAGAGAAAGTATGGGATTGAAGTTATAGAGGAGAGAGACTCAGTGACAGAAGGCAGAAGGGGATGGGATCTGAAGCATAGGCAGGACAGAAAGAGAAAGAAGGGACCTGTCTCTGTTTTTACGGGAGAGAAGGAAGAAAGGATGGATGCAAGAGCTGGTTCATTTGTCATTTTGGTGGCAGGAAGTTGATGAGCTCTCATTTGGTGGCTTTTTTTCCCCGTGAAAAAGAAGACAGAGTTATCTGTTGAGAGAAGAGGGGAGAGGGAGTAGAACAACAAATGATAGGAGAGAGAATTTTAACGAGCATTATTCTGTAAAGACTCCCTATAGGCAGATATGTATACTTATAGCAGCAAGAAGTCTCAGCTAAGAACTAATTGTACAGAAGGCAACCAGAGCTATAAAGGGCCACCACAACAACCAGCTTAACACCTTGGCCTCTTTTTGCCTGGGGTGCAGTGTCTTTGGTCCCTGTATTACAGCTTAGCAAAAGAACTTACATTCGTAATTACGGCCAAGGGATAAATTATATTCAGCTTATTCTGTTTAAGAAGCTAAGGAAGGACGCAGTAGTAAGTATATAATTAGTAGCATGTGTATTATACTTTACAGTTCTTTACAGTTTACAAATGCTTTCACTTCTTATCTAGTTTTATAATCTCAGCAGTCCTGTAAGGCAGGTAATATTATTCCCATGTTCACAATTGAGAAAACAAAGGCTTAGTTACAATTAACTGCTTTGTCTAAAATACATAATTACTAAGGGGTAAAATCTAGGCTTTATCACATATTCTGTGCCCCTAGACTCTCTCCCATTATATCAGACTTTTTATAATTGCCATCCAAAAGGGTTTACAGTTGTTTAAAGGCATAATTTTCAGTTTTCTGGATTTCTGTGGAACACCTCATTCACGTACAGTTAATGAAGTATTATAGAAGGTCAGGCATAATTACTACCCTCTATTTTAATTTGGAAGGAATCTAGATTATGGAGTGAAACTTATTTTCTTTTTTTTTGTATAAGTTTAGAGTTTCTAATAGAGTTATGAAGCAGAAAATTATAAGGGAAAAACCATACTGCTTATTTTGTTTATTAGGTTCTTTTTCAAAAACGGACTTTTAGTTTATATTCTTGCTTTCCAATTTGAATTACCATATTTTCTGTCTGATTTTCAACAATGTCTCAAAACAGTTGGAGAATAAAATTACATTTGACAGATACCATTCTTTATCTAATTTTATAAAAAGCCACATTTATTTTGTGTACTTTTCCAAGTTCAGAAGACTTTGAATTTAACACCTCCTACATAATTAGTTGTTGAGATAAAATATTCCTAAATCGTAGGCTGCTAAGTTTATGGTACATGTTGATTTAGTAAATACTATTTCCTTATTTCAGTTTTTGTAAATGTAGTGCTTATTCAAGGTCCCGATTCTGAAAAACTTTTTATTGACTGAGGTATTTTAGAATTGCTTAGAGATACATATAAATGTAAAGTGCAGAATTAGCCTGAAAGACATTTCACATACCATTGTCTGTTGCCTGATAATTTTCTATATAAAAATAAAATAATTGACTCAGCATTTCCTAGCAGCATTTTATTAATAGGGACTTTACTTATTAATAAAAATACATTGCTCTTTTCTCCTTACAAATCAACTTTTAAAATATTTCTCTAGTTTTCTACTAACATAAGTTGAATAATAATCCATTGCTTTGAAATGGCCTAAGGTCAAGAATGACTAGTTAATTATTCCCATGTTTTCTGCAGTTATGCATATAAAAATTGCTATTTACTGAGAATAAAGCTTCCCCCCAAAAGCTTTGTTAAGTTGAAAATTGGGGGTCTTTTCCTGTTGGTGCTGATAATATTACAGGATACCTTTCAACTGGAAAAGAATTGTTGTGTTGGAAAATTATATGCTGCTGTTACAATATGTTCCATAATCTTAAAATCCATGTGATTTGAGGTATAAAATGCCACTTAATACTTATGTAGGTATTCAGAGGTTCTGTTTTGATTACAAATGGTTATATATAGATTAGGATTAAGCCAGTTATGTAATATATTTTAGAACCTTGAAAAAGAAAGTAGAAAGGATACCTGTGCTATAGCTGGAGGAAAATTACCACATGAGAAAAGGGAGCTAAAGCAATTCTTTAAACAGGTCTTTTGACTGCATTACAAAGCAAAGTGATCTTGATTATAGGAA